TTTGTACATATTACTTTGTAACTAAACATTTTATGTATTTTTACCTGCCCTTAGTGATTAGTGGAATAATGTGAGTTGGTGCCTCATTACCGTGTCTTTGTACATATTACTTTGTAACTAAACATTTTATGTATTTTTACCTGCCCTTAGTAATTAGTGGAATATTGTGAGTTGGTGCTCCATTACTGTGTCTTTGTACATATTACTTTGTAACTAAACAGTTTATGTATTTTACCTGCCCTTAGTGATTAGTGGAATATTGTGAGTTGGTGCCCCATTACTGTGTCTTTGTACATATTACTTTGTAACTAAACATTGTATGTATTTTACCTGCCCTTAGTGATTAGTGGAATATTGTGAGTTGGTGCCTCATTACTGTGTCTTTGTACATATTACTTTGTAACTAAACATTTTATGTATTTTACCTGCCCTTAGTGATTAGTGGAATATTTTGAGTTGGTGCCCCATTACTGTGTCTTTGTACATATTACTTTGTAACTAAACAGTTTATGTATTTTACCTGCCCTTAGTGATTAGTGGAATATTGTGAGTTGGTGTTCCACTAATTACTAAGGGCAGGTAAAATACATAAAATGTTTAGTTACAAAGTAATATGTACAAAGACACAGTAATGAGGTATTGTGAGTTGGTGCCCCATTACTGTGTCTTTGTACATATTACTTTGTAACTAAACATTTTATGTATTTTACCTGCCCTTAGTGATTAGTGGAATATTTTGAGTTGGTGCCCCATTACTGTGTCTTTGTACATATTACTTTGTAACTAAACAGTTTATGTATTTTACCTGCCCTTATTGATTAGTGGAATATTGTGAGTTGGTGTCTCATTACTGTGTCTTTGTACATATTACTTTGTAACTAAACATTTTATGTATTTTACCTGCTCTTAGTAATTAGTGGAATATTTTGAGTTGGTGCCCCATTACTGTGTCTTTGTACATATTACTTTGTAACTAATCATTTTATGTATTTTACCTGCCCTTAGTGATTAGTGGAATATTGTGAGTTGGTGCTCCATTACTGTGTCTTTGTACATATTACTTTGTAACTAAACAGTTTATGTATTTTACCTGCCCTTAGTGATTAGTGGAATATTGTGAGTTGGTGCCTCATTACCGTGTCTTTGTACATATTACTTTGTAACTAAATATATAATTACTTAGGAATACGTAACACAGCTTCCAGTTTTACAAATGATTTTTAAAAAAAATTAGCAATTCTCTTGCAAGGCTTGTGGTTAATACAGCGCGTAAACTCAGAACAAATTCTCCTTTCCAAGGAGTATATACAGTATATATATGGATAAAATAAAACACAGGTTAGCCATGTATTCTTGATCCATGGATGCGGATAACCTAGCAATAATTGGCTGCCATAGCAACGATTTGGCTTTATCATGAGAGTTAAACAACGAAATTCGTGAAAATTTTTTAGAAAAGTATAAATATCTGTCATGTTTTTTTCACTGCGCATAAAAACCCTCAAAAAGCAAACACGCTTTGTTTAAAATATAAGGAAAGACATTTTTAATGATGTCAAGTTTAATTAAATTTATTGATGAACTTGGTTAATAATTCTTTATGTATCTTATGTGCGAATCATCACTCAGATTATAATTTTTCTTTCAATTTTTGAATTTCGGGTGTGACTGTTTTTCAGTTTATTTGCTGGTCCTATGGTATAAATTTAGTGCTTGCGTGTTGATCGTGAATTTCAATTGTTGTAATTTTTATATACTCTGAAAACATACGTTATAGAAATATTCTTATTAATAGTTGTTTTAAATATTTCTCTTGGTTTACTGAACAACTTATTGCTTATTCATAACGTTATTTGGGACCGTTTCATATTTAACAGCAACATTGACACAATTTTCGTTGTGCCCCAAGCGGATTTTCTAGCGAACAACAATAACAACTATTGTTGTTAAAAAGTAGAAGTCAAACATTACCGATGAATGCTTTTTCTCTAAACTAATAATCCGTAATGTTCTACCTAAACCAACTGAAGACTTTGATAATATAAATATATATAAATCGTTTGCATAGTTTAGCAAAGGTTATTATGTGTACTGTTTTTGGTTCGAAAATGTTTCTTGTTAGAATGTTTCTCATCAAATGCAAGTTAGGCCTAAAAATAAAGAAATGTGCAATATAGACCGACATATATATATTGTAAATACTTCAGAAAGTAAAAGTCGAAAATGATATAAGTAGAAATTTAATCAGAAGTATCAGAGTAATAGTGAAGCTGCCAAAACAAAAAAAGTTAGCTCTTTAAGTTTCTTTTGTCTCAATGGGTCTTCTATTCCAGATAATTGGGGTTGCCGTGGGAAACCCCTACA